TGCTTTTTTTTTTTTTTTTTTCTTTTCATCTCTTGCTCTGTTCAGTTTTGCTTACCGAAAGAGCCAAAGGAGATTCTGATTGAGGAATTGAACAGAAATGGGGAGACCACCATGCTGTGACAAAATAGGAGTGAAGAAAGGGCCATGGACTCCTGAAGAAGACATAATCCTGGTCTCCTATGTCCAAGAACATGGCCCTGGCAACTGGAGATCTGTTCCCACTAACACAGGTTCTTTGCTTAATTCTTCTTTTTTGGATTCATATGATAAACATATCCGAGATTATTCCATCATTTTCACTCTTTCTGAGTTTTTTGTGGTTTCGTCATTTCTTCTCTCTCTCTCCCTCTTTTTTTTTAACAATAAATTAAAAATTAATTTCACCGCTTCGATTTTCTTATAAAATTCTTGAAAAATAATCCATTCAGGACTGTCAAGATGCAGCAAGAGCTGCAGGCTCAGATGGACTAATTACCTAAGGCCAGGAATCAAGCGTGGCAGTTTCACTGACCAGGAGGAGAAGCTCATAATCCACCTCCAAGCTCTCTTAGGCAACAGGTGATCATTTCATCAAACACCTTTCTGCATACTTGTCCTTTTTTCGTAAAGGCGCTTGATTTTCATAAAATAATTTAAAAGTTAAGTGATGAGAGTTCGAGCAGAGTAAACAAAAAAATCATACTAATTTAAATGAATAATGATGCAGATGGGCAGCCATAGCTTCTTATCTTCCGGAGAGAACAGATAATGATATCAAGAATTATTGGAACACGCATCTGAAGAAGAAGCTGATTAGAAAGCTGGAAATCGACGTCGAAATAGATGGGGAGTCCTCAATCAACAAACGTACAGCCTTCTCAAACTACCAGCCAATTACTAAGGGACAGTGGGAGAGAAGGTTACAAACAGACATAAATATGGCCAAACAAGCTCTACAAGAGGCCTTGTCCATGGAGAAGCCAAGCTTCTTGTATGAAACAAAGCCTTCTTGTAGCAGCCATAGCTCGAACAACAGTCGTCCGCCATCATCGATGTATGCTTCAAGCACCGAGAACATATCGAGATTGCTCCAGAATTGGATTAGGAAACCGCCTAATCCATCATCGGACTCCGACCGAGCTAACTCAGCAGAGTCGACTCAGCTCTCAGTCGCCGCCAATTCGTCATCGAGCGAGGGGAAGACAGGAAGCTTTGGTGATAACAAGAGAAGAAATATAGTTTCTCCTGAGGCCTGTAGTGTGTTCCAGGTGGAGAGCAAGCCAACCTTGGAGCCAGAGTTACACTTTTCATTGCTTGAGACATGGCTGCTTGACGAGAGTTATGCGGGAGGGAATGATAGCAATATGCTTGATATAGGTCTCGATGAACATGAGCTATTTTAATTAATTAGAATGAGTTTAGAAGTGGCTTTTAATTTGCTTATATAATCCTGTAATACTAATGAAACAGGTATGATGATCTCCATAGGAGAGATTATTAGGTGAGTCCTGCTCTAATTTTTTCCCTGCTCAGTTCTCATAAAGAAGTTTGTCACTGTGCAGGGAAAATAAAATATGGGTACTCAATTAATAATCTTTCTCTAAGTAGACGGACGTTTCAAAAGAAATTGTAAATTAGTCATGTACGTAGATCTACAAAGATATTGTGTTTTTGTGGAAAAAAAAATTTAAGAAAGTCGAGCAAAGTTGCTTAACTGTTTTTATATATAAATGTCATAAACTGCGCGCGCGCTTCAACTGTATGTGTGTTATATGATGATTAGTATTCAACATAATTATATTTGGATTCTATAGCTCGTTTGCTTGGTTTGTTTCAATGAATAAGAGAGGTATATATGTAAGTTTGAGTTCATATGTAAACTTTGGTTGGAGCTTATTAAAGGACAAAAGTTCTACAATTATATATATCAAAGAACAATATATTAAGAGGCTTAATTTTTAACTTAGGTTAGGAAGAAACCTCAGCTCATACTCATAGAGATTTGGAAGTGATCGAGTGGGGAGTATGCAGAGGTCTAGATCATTAAGAGTACTTTGAAAATATTTATAGTGCACTAATTTTTTTTATCATAAAGAATGTCATAGTTAAGAGAAATTATTCAGTAGTGAAGTGAAATGTATGTGCATGGGCATCAACTAGCTTCTGAACTTGTAATGTACTATTTTATACATGTTGAATTTGTTTCTGGATGATTTGAATTGAATTGAATATCGCCTTGCTAACTCCGAACATGCAGCATCTTGTTTGAGCATGTGAGTTGTCTGCCCTTAGCTAGCTTGCACGCATTTCAAGGTCTAAAGTTTCCAAAGAAATTTCTTATCCAGAATTTGAATGAGTCAAGGATAGATGAAAGCTAATTAAATGCTTATAAAATAAATCCTTTTATATGATAGTTTATCAAAATATATTTAAGTTATTTCTTGTAAAAAAATGAATTTAAGAAGCATTATTTTAACTTTTAAGTGAATTTTTTAAGCCTTGGAAATGTGCAGATGGGACTTAAATGCATCCCATGTGAATTTTTTTTTTTAACTTGCTACACGTTTGTTTGTCTTTAATTTTCTATTTCCTTCATTATGTACGTATCAGTAAAACTAAAAAAGATAATTTAAAGTTTGCCAACACCAACATACAATCGCAGAATTAGGACGGTAGTAGAGTGGCCCTCAACCCCTCATGTCCTTAATTATCACCCCCATAAAATTTAATATTATTATTTTTTACTTACGAAAATTTTATTCGTAAATTCTCTTACAATTAGACAGAGTATATATAAAATTTTCATAAAGTTGTTTCAGTTCTTCTTGTTTATATTAATTTGGCTAGACTTGAGACCAACAACAATGATTTAATATATAGAAGCAAAGCAAAAAAAAAAACACATCAATTCATGCAATAATAAAGAATATAATTAGTTCTAATTTTGAAAATGAATGCATGTTAAAGGGTACGTACGTATATATCACGTACATAAGGACTAGCTCATACCACCTATCAAACTCATTTTCATTTACAAAATGTACGTATGCCAATAATTAAGATCTAGTGGACTTATTATTATTATTTATAGTTCTGACGAATATATAATTTTCCTTTATGTAGTTGATTATTTTCACATATGCATATTTTATTAAAGAAAAAAAAAACTATTAAAACCTTTTCAGACCCACAGACCATGTGAGCCCCCTTCAAAGGTAATTAACAATTGATGGCCACTTAATTTCCTAGGACCCTAAATTTGTGTAATAAAGGTCCATAAGCATGCTTAAGTTTAAAAAAAAAATAAAAAAAAATAAAAACATGCTTAAGTTAGCAGCATAGCATAATTTTTCTTATTGATTCATTTAGGTTTTGTTTGGGACGGTTTTTTTGCTACTTCTTGAAGTAGCTTTCTAGTACAAATATTTTTAATTTATATATTAGAAAGTTGCTTTAAAAAGCAGCAAAAATACTCATCCCAAATTAATGAAGCCTTAATATCAGGTAACTACTTGAGGGAGAAAATTTTTTTTGGTAATGAAATGAAAGGCTGAATAGCCAGCCATATTATGCATGGTAAGTAATGTTACCATGCCATCACACACTCTTCATCAGTACTACGATATCACTATTACTTCATAGTGGACAGTATCATGTGCTTATTAACTGTGCTAGTCATATACATGTTGATTATTAATATGCATGTGCATTGATGGTTGCACTACTTCTTCCCATCACAGCACAGCTAGCATGGATGAAATCTCTACAAAATAATTAAACTCGACTGTAAGAAACTAGACCATGCATAGCTGTCTTGGTCCCATGCATGTTTATTCATTTAATTTCCAACTTCTTTAAAGAATATAAATTTTTTTGACAATACACTTTTAGATATTTAAACCTTTTTACTCATTATATATATATAATTTAGAATGTAACAGGGTTAGAGTGAAATGAAATGAAGGATGGTAATTTCGTGAGATACTGTGTGTAATATTTGTAGGTTTACATGGTATCAGAGTATACACTCTGTCATCTTCATTCCTATTATCATGAATCTCATAGCAACTTCCTTGTCCGCCAATTTCGAGGTTGTAGCAGCATCTAGGTTACCATTAGACATCATTGTCATTCCTTCTCAGCTAAAAATTTTTATGGGTAATGTCAAAAATGTCATAGCCCGTCCTCTAACAGCCAACAATCACCCAATTTGGAGATCTCAAATCATCAAACTATTTCGAATGGGTTTGAAGGTTTTTTAGATTATTCTTGTTCTTGCCCTGCCCAATATATCTCTAATGTAGTTGGTCTGTCTACTCCCAACCGTCATTATAATACAAGGATTCTAATTAACCAGAATCTAGCGGCTGCTCATTATTCAGTTATTTCATCTACCTTATTGTTGTATGTGTTGTCTTTGGATCATTGCTCGGACATTTGGCAACCATTGATCACCGTGTTCAATCCTGCACTTGATCTCAGATTATACAACTTAAGAATGAGCTTCATCACTTATCTATGAAAGACCAAACCATAACTCAATACTCAGTGGAAGTCAAAGCCAAGGTTGATTCTTTTGTTATTGCAGGATCTTCACTGGTTCCTAAATATATTATTCACTATACTTTAAATGGCCTTCCAACATAATATCATTCAAAACTGCAATACGCACCAATTTAGAACCCTTGAGTCTGGATGATCTATGCACACTTCTGTGTAATGAGGAGCTGAATATAGCTCATGAAACTACACATGAATTACATTCAAAAAATATTTTCTTTGATACCAAATATATTGCAGCAAAAAATGTAATATGATGATGTGATACAATAGTAAGATTATCTTCACCAATAGTTCATTAAATTCACACTTAATAAGCTATGCATAATGCTTAATTAATTTGATCGATTGCTAGCACAAATCTAGAGAGTTATACAATGGAACTAGTGAGATATTAAACCTAAGTAAGATTTCTATACTTAAGTTTACAAAGAGTAAACAACAAACTTATAAAAAGAAATAATCGTAGTGGAGTTAATATGACTGATAAGACAAAATGTCCTTCCTTTGAGATAAATATTTCCACAAGGATTGTTCGCTCACTCAATGAAGAAGTCCTTCACATCAGAGAAAAAAGAACACATGAAAATTAAAGGAATTATAAGAGGAAACTAAATATTTTATTCAACAAAACATTACTATTAAAAAATAATGTGACCACTAATATGGACTTGTGTAAGAGATAGCCTAAGAGGTGGAGGTGGAGGAGGAGGTTTATCCATGAATGCATATTGGAGAAGAGTTTTTAGGAAGTTTAAAAAGGTTTAAATAGCTAGGCTTCCAAGGGATATATATTCTTTTTGTAAATAAAGAAAAAAAAAAGATATTTTCTAGGCTAATACATACATTTTTAGTTTATTAAGAAACAGAGGGGGATGTATAGTAATCAAATAAAGTGATTAATAAAGGTCAAGAAGAGGACTAGGCTAGCTAAAGTACATATATGACTTAAGAGAATCCAATGAATCATAATATAACTCGGTACTATGATAAAATCCAGCAAGAAAAGGTCAAATATATAAATGATTGTTGACTTAAAATAGACAGCTTAAGCACAGGGCATAATCAAAAGAAAAAATATGAGGAAGAAAAAGTCACACATGAATTGGCTTTATAGGCTCAAAGTAAACTAGACACGCAACTTCAACTAGTAATTAAAATGCACCATGTTTCACAATCACTAGCTTCGAAAAATTTAATATCATCAAATGAAGGTCCATAAGCACAAAGAAATGCGGACACCATTAAAGTTGCTCCAAGTCATCAATATACCTTAAAAGACATATATGAGCTTAGTTGAGTAAGGAACTTGTCACCTCATCTCAATCATTCGGCTTGTGGTGGTAGTGGAGTTGGGGATAAGAAAATAGTAGTAGTATTAACTTGCAAATAAAAGAACAAGCTACAGTTAACGAAATGCATCAAACATAGTTACAGAAATATATATCTACCTATAAATTAGAACCATGTGGAGGTTGAGGGCTTGGCTACATTATAATGTTAAATAGTTTATATTAAACACATCGTTGAATTTTATATACTTTCTCCATGAATTAATATGTGTTTTTTGAGTCTTCAGAACATAAAGTAAGCTTATTTTGAGTTTCTCAGTGTAAATCATTCCTACTTCCATATAAAAATGAGAATGTATTATATCTAAACAATTAAAAGTCAATGCAATTAATCTTTTGGAGTTCCAAAAAGAAATTAAGGTTTAAATGAACGTACAAGTTTCAATAATCTGATTTGTTAACATGAAACCTTTAATGCAACTAATTTATGGATTAGATCAAACCTCAATAAATCGGATATGAATTGAATAGGCATTAGAGGAAGTTGCTTCATTGATGGTTTTGTGGAATAAGAATAGATCAAGCACTTGAAGAATAACTGAATATTTTGAGACATTAATTTGCTAGATAATCGAATGATCTTCAAATCTCTCATACCTATATACAAATCAAATATTCTAATGAGATGAATTCAACGAGCTCAAGATTACTTAATTTAGATATCATTAATGAATTTTTGAATGCTGGAAGAATGACTTGTAATCAAGGGAATCAATGCTGGTTGTATGTAGTGATTTGGATTTAAGTTATACTTATGAAGAGTGCCACTCTAAAAAAATTAAATAGACCACCCATCTTCTACATTATGAAGTGGGGATTGGAGATGAAGCTTGAGCTTGGATGTTGTCTAAATTAAATTGGAGAAAGCTTAGTTGTTGGATCTTTGCATTTCAATCA